TTGGAAACAGGGCTGAAACAGAGGGGATTATGGGTAATGCTGCAATGATCTGTTTTGTGTTTCAGCCAATCAGAGACATCATCCGTATTTATCTGAGACCTGTGATATATTGATGAAGAACAGTTTAATAGGGGACCTTTAATCCCCCCTTCATGTGGACCCTTTTATTTATGATATCTAACATTTCTCACCTCTGCGTGGCTGCCGGCAGATAAAGTCTTGCTGCAACGCTCACAACGAAGACAGGGCCGGTGCCAGTTCTTCCCCAGAGACGACACCTTCTCCGCTACACACACACACACACACACACACACACACACACACACACACACACACACACACACACACACACACACACACACACACACACACACACACACACACACACACTCACCACGGAAACCAGTCACATTAGTCACTCAGACACATTCCTACACTCGTTCAGTTGAGTATGAGATTTGAACACAACTTACCGAAATACACGGTCTTGTTGCACCGGGGGCAGATGTTCGGTCCTCCGGAGAAAGATGAGAAGCTTGCAGCTGAAAAAGAATCACATTCATTTGTCAAACTTATTTAACTAATACTGTAAAAACACCATAGTCAAATAACACTGTGCTACGAGAGAGGCTGCTTCAACGCAATCATTTAATACATGACATCTAATCTGATCTGAAGTAGCCAGGTCTTGTTATCGTGCATACCTTTGAGTCTTAATGAAAACAGGTGAGTTTTATTACAAGTTCACTTCATACAGCTGAAAGGGGAAACTAGATATAGAGACCAACATGTCTTTAGCTCAAAGCTGTTATCATGTCTGCTCTCAAGTTGGTCTTTGCAGATGGACTCACTTTGGAGCCGGCTTCAAGTGGCCGTTTGAGGAATCACAGTTTATGGTACTTTGGCGTTCACTTCATTTTTCAGCAGTATAAACACGCCTCTTGCCTTGTGTTACAAACTCTGTTAAAACCCCTATTACGTGAAAAGAAAGCTCATAAAACCTGAGTAATATGACATAAGGAATCAATCAGGAAAAGCTACACTTGGCATAAGGCCTAATTCTGAATAACCAAACATAACATGCATTACATGACAGATATCGAATTTGAAGCTTTCGCTTGGTTGTTTAGTCTCAGTTCATTTCCTCCTTATTTCCCTTATTGTCTAAGATCTGCCCCCATACCCCCCCCTGCAGAGAGGACTCATGTCATTTCTTTTCATTTCATTTCTCCCCCCGACATAACGACTTCTATTTTCTGCTCCACATTACTCCTCACCCTTCACCGGTCCCCGCGGGGCTTTTTTCTGCTCCTCTGGTTTCGCATCTGTTTCCATTGAAACGGCAGCCGGGGCTTCGTTGGCGGGAGCGTCGTAAACGTAGGAACCGGCCCCCCCGATGTTCACGCCTAAAAAACACACACAAACGCTGCATTTACACACCTGGAAAAACAGGCTTATTGCACTGAAAAATATGCACATACACTATCTCACGGGATCTACATTTTCAAATACATAAAAAACCTATTTCTTGAATTTTGTAATGTATAAAAGTACCTTACCTGAGTATTATCATTTATTCTGTATTTTTTAGATTGTGTATTCTATATATATATATTACTCTATTTATATGTGTCTTTTCTAGTATATTGCTGATGTGACAAAAACTATTTCTCAATTTGGGATGAACAAACGATCCATCTTTCTGTATCCATCTTAAAAATCGTAAAATGTACGGAGTCTTATTTCCTTTAAATGGTTACTTTTTTCTTGAATTTGATGCAAACTGGACCCTTTTTTCTCAATGTTTTTACATAAATAAGATGAAATGGCACCTTTTGGTCCAAAGAGGGCGGCGTAGCACGGCTTGTGGCAATAAGGCGTCCCTTGGTGCTGCAGAAAACAAGAAGGGGAAGTCAGCAGACACATCCAGAATGTAATAAAGGGCCTTTACTAAAGTATGTACTTAATTACAATTTGAGGTACTTGTACTTTATCTGAGTATTTTTACATTTTCAGTCCTTTATACTTCTAATTCTCTACATTAGTTACTTGACAAATTCACATTAAAGGTAGGGCAGGTAAGAATGGAGAAACCAGCTCGAGTGCGCTAGAGTTTGAAAAAATAATCTGCCACTTCCTTACAGAGCCCCTCCTCCAACACACACGAACGCGCACATGACCAATGAGGGCACGAGATAAGTTTGTGCACAGATGGAAGGCTGACAGGCAGGTAGGCCATCCAGTTACTTTAGCCGGGCCGGCTCAGATGATTGGTCGTGCTTTTCACAGCGCTACGGCTTCCACAGATGATATTTTTTATGGATTTATTGTCAAAGCATTTAATATATTCATTGCTATCGGGATGTTAAGAGCATTCCATGGAATATAACAAAACGTGTTTCTGAAGTGAATTATCTACCCCACCTTTAATAGCTGATACAAAATATAAACCAACTAATAAATATACATTGACTTGTAATTAGAGCTGGAAGAACACATTAATGCATTCATATTACATTACATTACAATAAATGCATTCGACCAACAAAATACAAACTTGAAGAAAACAGAATCATATAAGTACATCAGGTTTCATAGAGCCAAACATTTCAAGTGCTACTCAACTGGCTTTAGATAAGACAGCCCTTTATTAGTATATAAGTTCTTTGTTAGTAATTCTATCGCTCGAAGTGGAGTCCAAAGAGATGAGTTTTCAGTCTGCGCCGGAAGATGTGTAAGCTTTCTGCTAATCCAGTAATTTAATATATATGAATTTGTAAAAAATAAGTACTTTTACTTTTGGTTCATTCAAGATATTTTGATGTAGGGTGAGCGTTTGTTTTGAAATACATGTATTATCTTTTTTTTTTACAATAAAGTAATTCTAGTTGTACTCAAAAGGTCTGAGTACTTGTTCCACCTCTGTGTCTCACCAGAGTGGACACGTTTAGTTAAACACATTTGTTCTGTATGTTTGGATCCACATGAGGCCCAATAACAAAGANATGGGCTCGGTACTGCGTCTGGTACTTATCGTGCCTGAGAGGGAAACACACAAAAACACTTCAGTGGAGGATATCAGCTGAGGGAACAGTTTGCAGATGAGTTTTGAACACAAAAGGCAGCTGGGATAATCATCATTAAACCCTGCTTCTGTGAACAATAGGTACTTTTCCTGTTTAGTTCCGTTAGTGGCCAAGGATAATGTTGCGTTCACACACAAAAAGAAGAAGTTGAGTTCAGAGGAACTTTTACCCCAATTTGTAGTCCTGCAGAGAGGTGGGACTATCCTGGAGAGAAACAAGTTCCAATTTCTATTGGCTGGCGAATTGCAAACCACGCCCCGTAAAACTCTGAAAAGTTTTTTGAAGCCGCCATTTTATTGGCTGTCATTAGCATTATTAGCATTAGCATTAGCCCAGCGCACCAACGCAGAGAGAATAACTTATGGCAACACAAAAAGAAAACATGGGAGCGGTGGAGATGAGGAGGTGTCGGCGTTCTGGTGATTTACTCGGAAGGCTTCAGTAGAAGCTGCTGGGAGTCCAGCAGCTTCTACTGAAGCCAGTCCCCAACTCCGGGGACTCCGGGCGGCAGTATACGCCGTGAAGTTGTTTGCGGCCTGCCAGTAAACCCAAAGCAGAAGAAGAAGAAGTGATGTCAGTGGCTTTCATTTGGCTAATCCTCCCTCAGGGAACTTATTCCGGTGTGAACGCGATCTGCTCTTAGTTCCATGGGGGGAAACTAAGTTCCGGCACTAAAGTACGGCAAAGTACTTGGTGTGAGAAGCGGCTAATAACTGTTTAGGGCTAAAACTAAAAACGTTATTATCTGATTCATTTATTTTTTGATAGTGTTTGGTCTAAAGGTTAACTTTGCTCCCAGGTCTAATGCTCAATGGTCTTATTTGGTCCAACCAACATCCAATCCCAAATCAATTCAGTTTACAACCTCCTTGGATTTGGAGATGTTTAAAAGAAAAAACAACGTTTGAAGGAGTGTTTGGAACTTGTTGATTGTATATTTGGACTGATTGATCTATTAGGAACTAGACAGTGGTAAGAAGTATTTTTTTTGAAATTCTCAATAAAAATAATTTGATTAGTAGCTGTGTATAAAATGATTCAGCCGCCGTTGTGATAAGTGACTTTATGTTTTACAAGTAAAGTTTAGATTAAAGGTAGTGTAGGTTAAGAATGGAGAAACCAGCTTGAGTGCGCTAGAATTTGAAAATACACAACCGGAAAAGATCTGCCCCTTCCTTCAGACTTCCTTACAGAGCCCCTCCTCCAACACACACGAACGCACACATGACCAATGAGGGCACGAGATAAGTCTGTGCACAGATGGAAGGCTGACAGGCAGGTAGGCCATCCAGTTACTTTAGCCGGGCCGGCTCAGATGATTGGTCGTGCTTTCTACAGCGCTACGGCTTCCACAGATGATATTTTTTATGGATTTATTGTAAAAGCATTTCATGTATTTATTGCTATCGGGATGTTAAGAGCATTCCATGGAATATAACAACAAGTGTTTCTGAAGTGAATTACCTACCCCACCTTTAATGAATCATGGTAACTATTGACTTATTAAACTTCCAAATCTCAGAAAGAAATCATATTTTCATGGGCCTTGAAAAACAGAAGTTTAAGTTTCCATGCAGAGAAACACAAATCACCAAAAGCCCAGCAGGTTGTGTCTGAGTTCAATCAGGTATGTGAAGGTTCCTTTCTAAAAGGGAAAAAGGAGCACTCATGCATTATTCTTATTATTAGAACGTCCCTCTCTGTTTGTTGGAGCTAATGTCCTCTGAGAAGCACATATTGTGAAGCAGCATGTTGTGTTCAAAGACGCCTCAGGGCGGCACAAACAAACCCTGACTCTATAGTGTTTGTTGTTGTTGTTGTTGTGTGTGGAGCCTCACCTCTGGCAGTCCAGGCAGAGCGTGGTCATGCAGGCGGGACAGTTGAGGACGGCGTCGCTGCTCGTTGCTCCTTGACCTCGACGAGCCTGCGACCGAGAGGCTGCAGACGCTCGCTTCCTGCCGGTGTACCTGCACAGGAAGACACGAGGTGAAGAGAAACTCGACCGACTGCACGAACAGATAAAAGACTCCTTCTGAGCGTCTTACTGTGTCCTCCTGGCGTCCACCCAGGCCTGGTCCCTGTCGTCCTCCTCGGGGTCGTACAGCAGCTCGTCATTGGTCAGGATGGATCGCTGCTTCCTCCTCCGCCCAGTGGAGCTACCTGCGGGACAAACAGGAATCTGAATCTAAATGGACGTTCATGAGGAAGACTTTATAATTGATGGGTAATGGGTTTCAGGCAGTGGGGAACATTTCTGCTTACTTTGCATATCCTCTCCCTCGGAGTCTGAGTCGAAGTAAACCTCATCGTACACCGTAGGGTTAGGAAGTCCAGGAGCAACAACAACAGCTGCTCCTGGTTCTCCTGCTGCTGCTGCTGCTGCTGCTGCTGCTGCTGGAGAATAAACACACACATATCAGTAACGAGGACGCTGACCAGGAAACCAAATTATGATGTGATATGAATGATAATGGGACACATCGACGTCTGCACTCACAGAGCTGCGGACTGTACTTCATGTTACTCTGATCCGGTTACTTATGTTGTGGCAGATATTTAAGTAAGCTTTCTTAACACTAATGTTATAATAGTCAGATTGCTCTGAAGATGGGAGGTGATATTCTATTAATGTTCACGTTCACAGTCGGTGATTTTTGCCGGCAGTCTTTCCTGCACTGGCAGTTTTTCTGTATTTCCATTCTCCTGTAATATGACTTGATCGCTTTAAACTCCGCACACTGAGCTCTGATTGGTCAGCAGGCGGTGCTTTCACTGAGTTGAGCTCTTAGCCTGGAACCAGGCCTCTGGAGTGTGTTACCTGCTGTTGCTGGGGTCCATGTTCCCTCCAAGGTCTTGATGGTGGTGCTGAGCTCGGCCTCCATCTCTTTCTCGAACTCATCCTCGCTCGACGACTCGCTCTCCCCCGTCAGATATTCTCTGATCAGCTTCTTCTTCTGCTCCGGCGTCCCGTTGAGCAGCACCTCCAACTCGTCCTCCGAACTGAAAGACAGTGAGAGAGAAGATTAAACTTTTTTTTATCCCCGTGGGAAAATTCAGGCGACAGCAACAGGGTCAGAGTAAAACACAGGATTCAAATGCACGCTGAAGACTCTTTGAGCATGTTGCAATTATTGGAGAAAATGGCTTAGGGCTCACTTAATCTATGCACAAGTACTTCTGCCAGTTGTGAAATGTAATTGACTAAATCAGTTACATTTCTAAAGCACTTTAAAAGGATATTAACATCTCTTCTACTGCGTGTGTATATTAATAGCGTTGACTTTTATGTATTTAACAAGCAGACATTAGGAATAGAAAAATAACTATATAAACCCGCTCAGCTATCCTTTTTATTACCTGATTATAATAAGATGACTTCAATAAAACGCTACGTACAGATAAACAGTTTAACTTTATCATTATCTCCTGTATTCCAACAGTCGCTAGCTAGAAACCGTTCCCTGTCTTTTGAGTTTG